AGAAAAACAACAACAACAACAACAACAACTCACCTTTCGCTGCCGGCCTGACTTGAGGAGTCCTTGTTGCCCGGAGAGAACTTCGGGTGCGCCAACTCCTCGCTCAGCCTCGTCCTCAGCGCGTTGAATTCTCCGCCGGCTTCCGCCGAACCGCCGCGCGGGCTCAGGGAGCGCGCCTCCAGGTTGCTCTTGACCTCGGTGACGTACTCGTGGCACAGTCTGGCCAGCAGGCCGTTGTCCGGCAGACCCGGGATCCCCGCCGGCGGCAGTGGCGCGGAGTGGCCGCACACAGGACACGTGAGGCGCGTGCCGCCGGCGGAGGGAGAGTGCGACACCGCGCCCAGCAGACACTGGCGGCAGAAGCTATGCAGGCACGGCAGGATCTTGGGCTGGCGGTACACGGACTGACACAGGCGGCAGAAGAACAGCGTGGAACTGCCGCTCCCACTGTCTCCGCTTCCACCGCCGGCGTCCTGAACGCTGCTGACGTTTGTCGCTGCTGTCGTAGTGGTGGTTGTGGTTGCTGTTGCGTTGAGGCCGGCGATGCTGCCGGTGCTGCTGCTGCTGCTGAAGGATGCTCGGACTCGCTCCATATTTGTCGAGTGTCTGTGTTGTAGTAGAGAAGTTTGTTGTAATCCTTCACAAAACCATTGTTGTAGTAGAGAAGTTTGTTATAATCCTTCACAAAACCATTGTTGTAGTAGAGAAGTTTGTTATAATCCTTCACAAAACCATGTTCCTTTCTTTTGCAAAGAGCCCTGACTGTTCGTGAGAATCCTTCCTGTGTTTCACAAAACCATGTTCCTTTCTTTTGCAAAGAGCCCTGACTGTTCGTGAGAATCCTTCCTGTGTTTCACAAAATCATGTACCTATGTTCCTTTCTTTGGTGAGAAGGTCCCAATATTCATGATGAATATTCAGTCGGACTGTGCACAGTAATAACTTCTGGTCATGAAAAAAAAAATCTCCTTATTATTATATCATTATTATGCACCACAGAATATTATTTTCTTCCAGTAGTGTCGGTGTCGTTACGGCTATATGAGGTCCACGAGACGGCCGTGTGCCGTGCCCTGTGGGGATGTTGGTTTCGGTGTCGGCACGTCACTGCTGTCCTAGCGTTTCGTGTCCTCCCCAGAATCTGTCTCTGCGAACGTAAAAAAAAGGAAGAATTTGATGAGTACTCTTGTTACATCAGAGAGGACGCTAAGGTAATTCAGTCACTTTGTATGAGAAATGGGAAATTCCTCTGTGGACACACAGGGGTATGGATTGTAAATTAAATTAAATTATTAATTAGACATGTATTTGTAGATGTTTTCTGTCTTCATGGACAGAAGATCTAGGAGGCAGGCTGCCTCGACTTTGCCTGGCAGGGCCAACTCAGGCGGAGAGATACAATTTGTATAATACTATGTAATGCTTCAGCCGAATTTGAATTGTGTCGATGGGGGCTTATTAACCCCTACTTTAATGAAAGAGTAAGAGCACAGTTCGCTGATGTGCGGAAAAGACATATGTTCGATTCACGGATAGAGGGGTCTTTTTATTTATTCTTTTTTGTTCTTTCTTCTAAATCCTTGTGTCTCTGTTTTTCTGCTGGGCTGTTGTGTCCCATTCAGCCCGGGTCGTTTCTGAAAGAGGGGGTCGAGATAGCCAGCCTACTAAATGATCTAAACTGTAGAGATT